AAGTCAAGTGTGAAATATGAAGTCCACTGCTGTTAACAGAGATGGAAAAGAACAGTAAAATAAGCAGATTATAATATAAATTTAAATGTATCTCCATAACGCCCGGTCAAGCTCATCTCTGACAGTGTCTCCTGCACTTCCACAGCCTTAACACCCGGCTCACATGGAGGCAAAACCATAATTTGCTCAACTGAATTAAAAAGTTCACCTGCAACGTGCTGGTCTCTGCTCTGAGAGCTCGGCTCTGACAGCCCACTGTACAACCGGGTCAACAACTGGGGACGGAGCTGCCCAAATCTAGTCGGCCTCATTTGCAAATTCTCAATTAAAGTGAGAGCGCAGGCAGACCAGCGGCAGTTTGAATGAATAACAAAGATCAACAGCCTGCCTCTAATGACTAGCGCTCAGGGTACGGCTGAGACTCAGTGGGGAGGATGTAGCACCAGGGAGCTGGCATGGGAAATGAGGAAAATGGTGAGATACTGACATTTCGAATCATTCTTTAATTAAGAACATAAATAAGGTCTTTCCGGAGCAGATTTTACATTAAACTGCATTAAGAACATAATTAATGCTAAAACAGATAACACATACAGAGACAGCACTAAGAAAACATCTTTAATTAAAACACATTCAGGAAAAATGGACAATATTAGTCTTTCTAAACCACAACTGATCAGTGACCAACAAAGCATCTGAGGTCATCTCTCACGTTATAAATAGACACGGTCGTCAGTACAAGTATAAGTTCACATGGTGGCAGCAGCCCATGTTTAGGTTGCTATAGAAACCTCAGGTTCATACTATTACTTTTGGCTTTAGATGAGGCTTCAAAACAAGACTGAAAAAAAAATAAAATAAAAAAATAAAATATCAGATGACTAAATTTACCTGTGCCACTTCATTTGTTGCTATGATGCAAACAAGGAAAATTAAAATTTAAAAAAAAAAGGAATACACTTTCAGATTGATCAGACAAGACCAGAGTCAAGGATGAAAAATCCAGTAAAGTCATCTTTATTCTTCCTCGAGAACACAGCGCTGTCAAGGTAGTGGTAACAGATGCCATACATCAAGACATTACACAGCATAATAACAGAAACAAAATACATACATACAGTACATAAAGGACAGATTACATATCTACATAGAGATACACAAACCCACATATAGTACATGCATGCAGTACACAGCATATGGACATAAATACAGACATACATAGAAACATACTATGTAAATGCACAAGTATTTTCATTAAAAAACATGTAGGCTAATAATTCATTACAAATCAACACATAAATCACTGGGTTATGGTCAAGCAGTGAGTAGCTCCTGCCTTTTCAAACACTGACCCTGACCCTATATGTAGGCGTGGTGTTGTATTTTTGACATTGAAATGGTGACTGCTTGCTTATACTTCGACCCAGAGAAACATACTGTCAAACCAATCCCCATACTATCATACTATATAGTATGCAAGAAAAAAATTAGTATGTCCCAATACATAATATGTCAAATGCAGTATGCCAAAAATACCAGGATCTTCTGCTACATCCAGTTAGATTTTGCAGTATGCAAGCCAGCATGCTTTTCTGGATATTCACAATCCTCTGCAGCGAAAGATACGTCACATGGACTGTCAGAAGTCACAATGATGGATGCCATCACATTCAGGTGACTGATGACCAGTCGATTAGCAATAATAGGAATAGTAATTGTTTAACTGAATAAAATAATCAATGAAACAATCACAAGGACATGTATAGCCTATGTAATTTTACTATCGTGAATATAATATGTTAGAATCTACAATGTATGCAGTTACAAAATAACAACATCAGAGTTTTCCAGGTTGACCTCCATCTCCGGCAAGCTCAGTAAATGCGTTTTGTTTTGTCTCCATGGTAACAGATACATGAGTAAGAGGGTCAAGGTTCAGGGTGTAATGTTATGAAGAAGCAGTATGTCCTGATTTTGTGCATACTGCATGCAACAGTACGTACCTTTTAGGGCAGCTGCATTATCTACTTGAAAGTAAAAAGAAAAAGTATGTGATTCGGAACACACCCCTACTCACCATTGTCTCCGCTTGCATGATACATACCATCAGCAATGAAGCAGCTGTCGCCTTTTCTAACCTGGTCTGCAGGAATTAATAACATTGTAACCTTCTCAAGAGTCGCCATGTTTATTGTTTACATCCTGCAAATGCGGAAGTTCAACACGGTTTAAGTTATCCTGTGTGCATGCTAGTGGAATCCTCCAGTAATGAGTCTGTGAACTATTCCGTTCACAATGCGGATGGTTGTCTATGTGTGGTTAAAACGCAATACCTCCAGCCTAAAAGTAACATCTTAGTAAATTTGAACAGTGCACATTTATTATGATAACATACTAATATAGCAGTAAGATTTATACTTCATACAGTATTTCTTAGACATGTACATTTTCATATTTTATTATCTGGATGGTATGTTCACAAGATGAAAAGTGGATTTGCCCCATGTTCTTGGTTGTTTCATGTTTCTTTAATCTATTAAATGTCAGAAAATATTGAAAAATAGCCATTGCAGTTTCCCAATACCCTAAGCAACACCTTCAAATTGCTTCTTTTGTCTGACTAACAGTCCAAAACTAAAAGATATTACATTTTGTAGAATTTACGGCAAGGAAAGGCAGCAATTCCTTACATTTGGGAAGATGTAACCATTAATTATAGCTGCTGTGCAGCGATGGGTCGGGTCCGGGCATTTTTAGGCAATTCTGAGCAACAAGCAGAAGAATTGGAAGACATTTAGGAATTTAGCAACACAATCTGCCTTTTGCATCAAACTGACTAAGCCAGACGTGCAGGTTTAGCAGCCGTCCATGCATGGAAAAGCAGATTTCAAACCACTGTAAAAAATTCAGTTATTGAAACAAAATCTGAAAATACACATAATGCATCTAGGCAACATGGAGATGTTGGTAATTTATTTTAACAATGACTGATTTGCTTCATAAGTGAAAATCTGATGTTTAAAATTGCCATTTTTACACTGACTCCAATTGTTCACATTAGAGCAAAATTCAAAATTCAAATTGTCATTTTTTTCATGAACATTGAAGATTTATTTAGCAAGAATTTGCATGTATATGTTTACAGTCAAACATTTTGATGCACTGTAGGCTCAATTTTTGATAAATCAAAAATCTGAGAAACATAGTTTTTGTAGGACAGTCTGAAGATGCTCTGTAGCAAGTTTGGTGTCAATTGAGCAAAAATTGTGGGAGGAGATAGGTTTAAGAAGTTTTACAGTTTTTGAAAAGAACAGTGATGAACTTCATCATAATATATAATGTAATTTTAATAGGTTTAAATGTACAAAAGTTTCTTCAGTATTGGGGCTACAGTTTGATGAAAGTTGTGAAGTTGTAGCACGTATGGTTGATTTGTTATGAATTTTCAAAGTTTTAAATTTTAGATGCTTGCTGTAGTGCCACCATCAGGACTATTGGCTTGAGTTTACAGCTGAGGATATCTGGCATGAGACTGGACCTTTGTGCAAAGTTTGGTGAGTTTTCACCCATGAGAAGTATGATTTCCTCAGAAGAAGAAGAAAAAGAAAGAAGAAGAATACCTAGGATTACAATAGTGTCCTGGCAGCTTAGCTGCCCGGACCCTAAATATTTGGAGTATTTGGCTTGAAAAGTGACTGAAATTATTAAACCGATATCAAAATAGTTGTAGATTTATTTTCTTTTGATCGACTAATCAATTAATCACCTAAACGTTTCCACTCCAGTCCAATGTGACATCTTAATGATATAGAAAACTTGATGTTTTGTTTTTGGCAATTCACATACAAAACTTTTAAGTTAGCATATTACCAAGAAAAGCCTGACTTTTGACCTTTATCTGTTCTTTATTTCTTTTCATTTTTTATTTCTTTTCATTTTTTATGACTGAAAAATAAGTGCAATGACATATACCGTGGCCACACATGTACATATAGTATACACACACACAAAACCTTCGATCCCATTACCCCACCGATCACCCACGTACCTGTAACTTTGATGTATACTGAATACACACACAAAAGACATCCATAGACAAACTACGACATAAGGTGATGTGCTGCACTTATGTGATGTGCATGATATCTTCATCACTCAACTGCAAACAGCAAGCAGCAGTGTGCTGCACCCTCATGTCGAAGGAGACATGTGGACATCAGAACCATGGGGTGTAAACTGATACACAAGAAAACAGCATTTGCAATGCCCTCAGAGCCTGACTGTGCATGTAATAGTGTGGTTGATGTGTCCTTGGGGGAAAGGCAGCTTGTGCATTGCCTGCTCACAGCAAGTCACAACTCTGGAATAAATGCCAAACACATTAAAACATTCTGTTGACAAGAAATAATGACCTGTGGCTTCGGCTGGACGGCCAGCCGAAAAACAAATGAATAACAGACAGGAATTATTTCTTATGAGCTTGTGCCGCCGTCTTCGAAGGGCTGTCATCTTCCAGAGCTACGTCGCAATTTAATTTTCCTCAAAAAAAAAAAAAAAAGACTTTCATTATGAAAGCGATTACTTTTCCTAAGCGGTAACAATCAAGCAAATATTAACTATAGCTAGAAACAGTAATATATTAATAAACAGTCGGTGTGCTGCTTCTTGCTCAAACTCAAGCGAGGCTTAATTTGTGTCTGACAGCAACGCAATAGGTAATCTAAAAAGCAAAGGCTGGAAGTGCATCACAATTTTACTTTTGATCTCATAAAATCAGGCAACACGCTTCTGCCAATCAGTGCGCCCAGAGGGATTTCAGTTCAGTCAGCATCAATACATGGTAATCAGTTAAATTATAAGTAAAAAACAGTCATAAAACCAGTATGTCAAACAAGACAGCACCAAAGTTCCACGAATGCCACATCCATGACAAACCACCATAATGACCCAAAACCAGCTACTTGCAGTTGTGTGTATGCTTGCAAACCCCAGTGACTCACCTGCGAGGTAAGGGGTCAGGACAGTGCGTGAGGGGGCTGCTGGCAGTGGGTGGCGGCTCCCTTCGGCTCCTCAGCGACTGGCTCCTCTGCACCTGCCTCAGCACGCTACTCTTCAGGTCGAGCAGGGTCGTCATGATCTCTCACTGCCAGAACAGACACAAAGGGGCAAACATCAAGATGCTGTCGCTCTGGTCCACCCCGTGATTGGCAGAGTTTATGTAATTCACAACCTCTATTATAGAGAAGTGAGTCACAATATGTACAATTCATTTCCGCTGTGGGATCATATTTATGAAACCAGTTGTTTCTGGAAATACAGTTAGCTCGGGGGATTCTTTTGGTCTAATCAGCTGCATAATCACCCCCTTGCTCTTTTAACATAATTATACTCTTCCTCAGCAGAAGGTGCTTTCTATTTCTGTCTGATGCCGCAGGGTGTGCAATTTATCTTTCACCTTTGGGTCTGGTCAGTTCAGAGTCAGTCGACCTTTATTTTTGGGATCATACTTTGTAAGAAATATGCAAATTAAGAAGCCCAGCAGAGCTGTGAGCCGCAAGAGCCCCATAACAACAAAGTCATAAAAACTGTTGGATTGCTAAAATGAAATGGCGAGACTCTGCAATAAAGCAAAGTAAAAGCTATGTTTAGAAATGATTCCCCTGGATGTCTTAATTTTAGACCTGGAGCCTCTGCAGGGTAAAAACTAGAGGATCTAATAATAAGACCCAGAATATGTTGCAAAAACAGCTCAGTCTGATGATGTGAAAATAGAATAATAAGATTTTGACTTTTGAGAGTCAACAAAAGAAGAGCTTATATGAAAAGTGTGCTGTAATGAGGGTTGTAAAGAGAAGTAGTCTAATAAAGAAGCACTTGTGATTTGATGAGAAACACATTCAGTAACAATTTGTGTACTTTCCTGTACAGAAAGTGTTATAATTAAAGTTGGATTAAAACGTGAAATTCAGAACGTATGAGTTGTCTGGACACAGTTCCCAGCGGCTAGCAGTTTATGGTGCACCAATGCTGACAGCACAAATGCCAGATTGATACTTCTGATGCCATACCTACGGCGTAGGCTCTACCTCGACGCAGAGCCTGCGCCATACCCTACGCCTTAGCCTGACGTGCAACTCCCCAGAAACTACACGTCGCAGTGAAACAGACCACCTGTCTTTTTTTGTAAGCTGAAACCATTTCCCTCAGTGGAAACAAAAGGTTTTATTTACTTTAATTTCACAGATAAGAAACAATAAATTGTAACGACAATAAAGCCTCCACTAAAATAGCATTTTAAGGAAATATCTGCTTGTCGCTAGGCTAATTTATACAATGTAAAATGCCATAGGCTTTGTTTGGAAAATGTGTTTAGTATGAGACAGTTGTTTTGTCGGTGAACCTTGTGAGTTGTAATCTAGCAGGATTTTGTAACGTTATCTTTGTTAAATGCTGCTGTTGTCCCTGGCTTCATATGAGTAGAGGAAAAGTCAGCTAGCCGCTAGGCTAATTTATACAATGTAAAATGCCATAGGCTTTTGCTAAAAACATTAGTGTGTTGTATTTGTGGTGAAAATGTGTTCATGACAAATATTTGTCTGTGCATGCTGCGAGTTATAGTGAAGCTGATTTGTGTACTTGTGTTTGAAACTGTCACTGTTAAGCCATGTTTAATGTGTGTTTTGAATGAGCTACACTTTACAACCCTTCACAGAAACCCTGCCACCGACTAGTGTTTTGGAGGTGTAACTGCAGAGTGACATCGACACACCACTGAACAAATATAAATGCCTTGTAGGCCTCATCCGTAGGCTACGGTGCAGGCTCTGCATTGAGCTGATGCACAAGTATAAATGCCACTTAACGGTGCTCAACGGAGAGGAACCAGAGGGTATGTGCTACTACGTCCTCATATCAGACGTAACTGCCCTGTGAATACAATGCAAAGTGATTAGCTAGCCAGTGGGATACACACATGCACTAACATTCACGCAAAACCGGACCGACTTACAACTTACGCTCGGACAGTGCCAGGTTAGCGGTTTCCAGCCTTTATGCTGGCTGCTGGCTTTATATTTATCAATATATGGGTATCGAAAATTACATGCTGTGAAACTTCAATTAATAGCCCAGTCTATTATTTGCTTAACCCACTGAAATCCACAGGCTTATATTTGGGACAGGATTACGGCACTTGGCACACCAACACAACACCACTTTACCCTGTTAAAACAATACTCACAACTTGGATTATTTTTTATGGAAAAACCCTTTTGATCTGAGGACCCTTGTGGATTAAAGGAATATGAATAACTTGCGTGATAGTCGAGGAATGGACACATAATTTGAGGTAGCCAACAACCCAGTTTTATACATTCGAAGAACTTCCATAAAAAAATGAACTGTTTGACAACCAGACCAGGCTTCTAATTGAGACAGACATTCATCTGTCAAAACGTGTAGCTACACCAGGCCAGTAAAAGGGACTGGGTGACCAACTGTTGCATTTGCAGACAAATAATTTATCATAAGGAACCACCTCTATTAAAGTCCTTTTCAATTTCCCAAAATGTTTCACAATGCTGTTTTCATAAATCCACATGGGCCTAAACCTCTGATTAATGAATAAGATTACAAAAACAATGGTTAATTTTTAGTAGCATAAACCAGCATTATTGAAAAAGACAGCAACACAGGAAGGAACTGAACTATACAGGCAATACACACACACACAAATATTGTATAAAATCATTCTTTTTCACTTGGATATGGTTCAACAGAAGCAGGAAAGTTGTCCGAGCATTTGCAGAGAAAGGTAAACTAGGGCAGTCGTGACTGTGAAACATGAATTCAGAAAAATGAGCCTATCTGGCGACCTCAGAGAGATTGGCACTGTGTTGCTAAGCAATTCGCCGAGACCGAGTGGGTCTTTCTCAGGGCCATAAAGTGAACTTTCATTTCGGGCTGTGAAGTATAACTGAATTATATGACCTCATAACAATATTGTGCACCGTCAGTGCTCCCCGCAGTGGAGGAGCCGGAGAATAAAATGAACTGTTCTGTTAAAGGATATCTAATGAAACTGTGCATGTCTGCATTTCCCCCGAATAAAGAGGTAAAGAAAAAAGGGGAAAGTAAGCAAACTTGACAGTTTCTTTGCAGTGGCAGAATCAATTGCTTTTCTAAATCAGCTTTTAACTATGACCAAAGCCGAGTCTGTAGGCACAGGAAGCCAAAATATAAACAGTTTAATAGGAATATACTACTCCTTGTGATTACTCAAGGCCCACATATTGGCTTTAACATATTATCTTTAGGTGTAATGCCCCATTCTTTTTTATTTGGCAAAAATTAGTCACCGAACTTCCTCACATGTCTGCAGTACATCTACCCTTTATTAGGAGTTAATCCTTTTAATTTCGAGACAAGGTTGGGCGTCTATAAATACCTACAGTTCAATATTGAAGTCTGTTACAAAACCCCCAGAGGAACAGAATACATTTATTAGCTGACACATTTTTAAAGTCACCATGGCAGCAAGACTGTTTACACCGCTGCCTGAGTTTCACCATTCACCTCAAGTAAAAAAAAAAAAACATCAGAATGATCTAATTTCAAGGTCAATAATCACATAAATGTCAGGAGTTCCTTCGGCGAAACACTCAAGGATGCTCACACATCTGCCTAGCAACTGAAGAGCCTGTTGTAAAATCAAAGACTCTCCTTAACAGCAGCCAATCCCTTTCGTCCCTTGTCCAATTTACTGCATGCTAACTGTGATACTGGCTCTACCTGGATATCTGAGGGTCTTTTGAGAGCCTCCAATAGTCAGTGTGCTGATGAACAGCCGCAGAGGAAGAAGAGACTTAAAAAAAACAAAAAAACAAGAGGAACGACAAGGACACAAGAGGGAGGATTTGATTGATGGAAAAGTTGTTTCAGAAGACAGCCAGAGAGACTCAGACAGTCAGACACTCTTTTCAATAGTTGACAGGCGATGTCTGTACATCTGTGCGAAAGAGAAGCAGTGAACCGCCGGGCCGGGAGCTTGTTCCGATTCTCCAACCGGCAAAAAAAAAAGGCACTATCGTCACTGTTATTAACAAACTGTAATAGAGGACAATTAGCTCATTGTGCCCGTGGGATGAGATTCTGAGCTGATGCTGCTCATTTTGCAAGCAATGTTAATTTTTTTCCCCTCTCTTTTATGGCACTGTTGAAGGCTGCCTGTTTTGAATTACAGTGCTTACACCAAATGGATCCAGAAAATGAAACATATTTGCCTGCACGACTGCTATCACTCGGTGCTCCAGGCCAATTGCACAGAGAGCAGCCGTGCAGTCAGTCTCCCCAGCTCGGAATAAGCCAGAAATTTGTGGTACGCGTTGCATCACTGGACTTAGCCAAAGGACAGTATGCTATTGATCCAGGAGGCTGACACCTGATATCCACTTGGAACATCCACACTTTACTCTATTAGACTGAAGTGTCTGTGCTCCTTCCATGTCAGATACCATCAGCGGGGCTCATGCAGGAAGCGACATTTGAGCAAATTTCCTTAGTTTTGTTCATATTCATGAATCACTTTTATTTTGTTCACACCCAGTCATTTCTGGTATTCCCCAGTGTTGTCTTATTTTGGCTCTTCTCTGAGGTGAGAAAAGATTTTACGAGTGTTTGAGAGTTCTCTCACCAAGACAAGAAAAAAACATCTTGTTTTCACAATCCACAAATTGTCCAACGCAAGTTTATATAATCAAATTTAGATTAATTATAGAGTGGAGTAATTATAACTATGGGATCATTAAATTCACCAGCTGAAGAAATACAATTTGTCAAATGATCCCAATTAAGTCGAGAAAAACTCTTGGGCATACATTTTCTTTGCTTCCAGTTTCATGTCAAACCTTTATTTTCTAAAATTTCAGTCACTTAGCTGACCTCTACTGACATTTACAGCATCACAAATGCGTTGCCATTGCTTGGTTTTTGATTTTTCTGTAATGCCAGTACTCACACTCTGGAAAATCATGTTTGCTTTGTTTAAGTTCATGGGACAGTGCTTCGATATCACTACCGCTGAAGGTCACCTTATAGCGTTTTTTGGTGGCATCTCTCCAGTTGACCCTTCACTAAGCTCTGCCC